GACGATGATGATGGTGATGGTAATGGTGATGATGATGACGAGGATGAGGAGGAGGATGAGGGGGAGGAAGAGGAGGAGGGAGGAGGAGTAGGGGGAGGAAGTGGAGGAAGACCAGGAAGGGGGGGAGGAGGATGGAGAGGAAGGCTGTCACATGTGACACCATTCGTCTCCTCTTTGAGGGGTGAGGGGTGCTCATGGAACTCTTCTGGGCCGTCTTGGGGCTACCTTGGACTCCTGTGAGGCAGTCTTGGGGGGTCCTACGCCATGTTTGGGCTCTCTTGGGCCGTCTTGGGGCCCTCGTGGCCGTATGGCAGGTGTCTAGGGCCCGTCTTGTGCAGTCGAAGGGTTGTCTGAAATCGACTTGGGCCCCACGGGAGGCCGTCACGGAGTTGTCTCGGACGCCTCTTGGGCCATCTTGAGGCCTCTTGGACCATTTTGGGGCCTATTGGGGGCCGTTTGTGCAGTCTTGGGTATATCGGGGAGGCGTCGTGGGCCGTCTTTAGCTGACGGAACCCCGAACAGGCGCGATTGCGAATTCTTGTGTCATAGTTTTGGTTTCTTTGGATTTTGTCGGACCACTTCTTGTGGCCCTCTGGTGCCCTCTTGGGGGCATCCTGGGCCGTCTTGAGGCCATGTTGGGCCGCCTTGGGGCCATCTTGGACCGTCGTCGAGGCGTCTTGTGTCATGTTGGTTTCTTTTGGTGCCTGCTGCCTGAGCCGTCTTGGAAGCTCGGGGCGCGGACCCATCGTTTATGTTAACGAAGGATCGTGGCCTCGGTAGCACGGGGCCATATTCATTAGCATTATTTCACGCATCAGTGTGCACAAGGCACGGTAGCGGATAGTCTCTCAGTTCGACCACGGTCGCAGGTACACACACACACGCACCATTGTGTATATCTGTCTCCCTCTCTCTCTCTCTGTCTCTTCCTCTCTCTCTCTCTCTCTCTCTCCCTCTACATAAAATATTATATACATGTACTCCATCTCTTTGTCTGTCTCTCTCTCTCCCTCTCTCTTTCCCTAGCCATTCTTCTCAGCATATGGATATGTATGATTTGTCATTTTCTCTCCCGCTTTCTCATTCTCTCTCTCTCTCTCTCTCTTTCCCTCTGTACCCGTGTTGCTTGACCTACCTATTCTCAGTTCGCTTTGCATTAGCCAGATCGATATGTAATGTCTACTCCGTCTCTCTCCCTAGTGTATTCCTCGTTATGTTTCTCTCTGTCTGTCTTTGCACCACCTCTTCCCTCCCTATGTCACCTCCACCTCTTTCTCTAGTTCTCTCTCTCCATCTGTCTGTTGTCACCGTTGAAGTTACATCTACCAATTCAATCAGATTTTTTAACTATACATTTCATATCTACACATACCCCGAACAATGCTTACACTTAGGGTTTCTGAATGTCTCTTCTGAGGAACTTGACCTGATTGTCGGTCTGGCGGCTATATGGTCGCCGTCGCCGACTCGTCGCCGCCCGTCGTCTGGGCCTGATTGTCGGCTTGGCGGCTATGCTGTCGCCGTCGTTGGTTGCCCCGTCGCCGCCTCGTTGCCGCCCGTTGGCTGGGCCTGATTGTCGGACCTGCGGCTATGTTGTCGCCGTCACTGCCCCCGTCGCCGCCAAAATTGCACAACGTAGATTGCATCGCAGATATGGCACCACATACAGTGCACAACATCGATTGCACTACATAAGTTGCACCCGTAGATTGCACAGCATATATTGCACAACTTATATCCCACACTTTAGACTGCACTACCAGAGGTTCACAATATGTTCCTCATAGATTTCACACAATGCAGTGCTAGAAACACATTGTATGGGATCTACGCAGGCGATCATATGTATATGTACTCACTTATCTATCTACTCAATGTTTCCCCGTACCTTTCTGGAATGTACTCCCTGTTCGTTTTCGTCGATGCTCATTCTGACCGCGGCGGCAAGGGCCTGGGTATTTGGCCACAGCCAAGAACTCGAGAACTCGAGACAGGAAACCCAGAACGGAAACTTGGGAACCCGGCCATCCATTGAAACCGGCTCTGCACCCGAACCCACGAACCCAGCCGCGCTGGATTTTGGGCCTGGAATCTCGGTGCGGAAGTTGTTCCTACTCTTTCAGTCGCCGTAAAGACTCTTTCAATGCAAGCACTGGTTGGAGAAAATTGTTCGCAACTACCCAGATGGTGAATTTCCATGTGGTAACGTGTTGTATTCTCCCGGTTTGCGGTGGGCTGGCGCTTATTCAGATGATATCGTTTTGCCGCAGGTATTTTTCTTCAAGCCGTTTTTTCCTCGAGCCGATTCCCGGCAGCGTTGTTCTTCCTCCTGGGCGGCGTCTTCTCCCCAAAGCAATCACGATGCAGGCGTTCCAACGCAAGGCGTTCGTCCTGTCCATGTGTTGTGTGGTGCGCTCGCGCGCGCAGCAAATGCCCGGCATCCAGTGGGTCAAGGGATACTCGTTCCCGAGTCCGTCATTGGAGAGCCACCCGCACGCAGGCGTGGAAACGAGCGATGGTGGTTTCTTGATTCAGTATCCTTTATCCGATCCCCATCCCCATCCCCATCCCCTTCGAGACCCCCACCAGATTACCACCCCAGTTGGGGATACACCCCTCGAAACCCGAAGGGAACGACATATGTCCCCATCTAGGGGGGGGGTAAATCGGCCAGTGGGGCCCCGGCCACGCCGCTGGGGATGGGGATCGGAGAAACGATACTCATTGATTGTTGGCGACGGGCAGGATTACGCAGAGAAGACTCCAGGCTTGAAGCGCCACGTGTTGATTGCCAAGGTGGACGGTGCCGGGAACCTCTCGTGGCAACTTGACCTCGGCGAGCGCGGCTGGAATTATGGGAAGTTCGGGCTGGAATTGCGGGATGGCACCTTCGTCATCTCTGGCGCGGCAACCGCGTCTGACCCAGAGTATGGTGATCTGCTGCACCGCGTGTTGGTTCGCGTGGATGCGAAAGGCACTGTGATGCAAACGCTCTTGCTCGACAATTCGAACAAGCAGGAGCACCTTCAGGACGGATTCGTGGGCCTGACGCCTGGCCACGACCCGGAGCATTCTTTTGGCGCCACCTACCAAACCACCCCAACCCAACCCGAAGACCCTGATTTGCCCTCTATTTCCGGTGGGTGGGGGGTCGGGGAACATTGGCAAAAACACATGTGGAGCCCGTACCCCCCCAACCCGAAATTCGGGCGAAATTTGGGTCTTCGGGTTGGGTGGAGTGGTCTGGTAGGTAGTCATTTTGTCGCCACAGGGTTCGTAGGCGCCATTAATGAAAGTTCTTCGTTCCCGGACTCGGCGATGTTCCTGACCAGAGGCGGCAGCCCATGCCTTAGCCAGATAACCTACAACGACACGACTATGACAGTCACTGCTGACGAGATGTTCCATGACTTGCCTGGATGCCAACGGCCGGATTGTTTCATGTATGAAGGCGTGCGAATCGTCTATGACCCAGAGGCGAACCAGTACATAATCGCGACGAATCTTTATTACCCAGAGCGTTATGCGAACGAGATGGGTGCCATCGCTGTGGGAACGGACGGCGCTGTTCGTTGGATGAAGTCCTTCCCAGCTGCGCACGACGGCTTCACTGGATTCCAGTCGCAGCCGTATGCGTTGGCCTTCGCGGCGCCCTCCTCAGGTGCACCCAGGCGCTACGTCATCGCTGGGCACTCCTTCTGGACGGAGGGGCCGCAGAACGTGCTGCGAGCAGGTGGGCGCATGATTGGCTTTGACGGTTCGGGCGACCTCAAGTTTGACACCCGGTGGGAGTCGGGAGAGCGAGATGCTAACATCGAGTGCTACGGCTTGCAAACGACTCTCGATGGCGGCTTCATTATGACATGCGGCAACGGTGTCGAGGCAGAGCTTCATCCGCAAGACAGTCAGGAGATGAAGACGTGGATGGTCTTCGTTGCCCGAACCGATATGAACGGGAACAAACTGTGGTGTGGCAACTTTACCGAAGAGGAGCACTTCAAACTCAAGCAAAATGCGGGTGAGTACATCGTTGCGACACGGGATGGGCGGTATGCGGTATATGTCGATTCGCAGACGTGGGGACCGGAGACCACTGGCGGCAATTTCGCCCTTATGATGCTTGAGAGCGACAGAATAGGTACCACCATGAGCGCTGCGACGAGCACCATCGCCAAGGCCGCAATCAGCCAAGCCGCCGTTTCCTCTTCAGTAATCGTCTATTGAAATTGGATACTTTGTGTGAAAGGTATTTCCACGATAATGTCACGATTCCAATGTATGCCCTCGATGTATTAAAATTTTCATCAATGTGTTAAACACGCCACTAGGCGAGTGGGTCGGCAGTGGGTCGGCAGTGGGTCTGGAACCAGAGAAAATCACGTTCGGGTCCGATGCGAGGCTGGATTATGTACACCCTTACGTTGTACATCCCTATGCTTACATATCCGCGCATCTCCCATTTTTCGAAGGAAAGCATTCTTGGGTTTGCATATCAAGCAGTGGCGAGATTGATTTGTGTGCAGCCCAGTGGGTTCTTCGCTTATATGTCTCGTGCGCTCTGCCTTGCACGACTGTGTTACAGAGCTTCTTAACCTAATGGTTTCGTTTATTTGTGGTTTTGGTAGGGAGCGCGCAGTGAGCGCATACAGGAAAATGCATCCCTGAATTACTGCGAGCTTAAATTCGCTTTCGCGATACGCCCTATTCTCCGATGTGGTGCAGGTGTGACTCGCCGCCACACCTCTTACTGCGGCAGATGTGCCCTCCCCCATACGTTCCACTGTTCCTTCTATTGCAGTAGGTTCATGAATGCTGTCGTCTTCATCTCGTTAAGGGGATGTGGTCGCGCGTTCAGGTCTTCGTATAAGATGTGGTCCTCATGTTTTCGGTCGGCGGTCCGATTGTCCACTTTGTCAGAAGCGCTCCGAGTCGATGAGGTCGTGACTGACGCCGGTGGCGACGCAGCGTCTGGTCCGATGTGCCCCCTCTGCCCCACTCAGGACGCCGTGTCGAGGCTGGGCTACCGCCCGCCGGCGGTGGAGGTCACCGCGGCCGAGACGTTCGCGCACCTCGGCCGTGAGGGCGGCGAGGTTGCCGGGGGGGGCTGTCGGCGGCCTTCGACATGTCTAAGCTGGGACGGCGGTGAGAGGTGCAATCGCCCATTGAATGCTCACTGTCGCGTTCAAGAATGCACAACTATACGATTGCGGAGCAGGGAGCGGCACGAACTATTGTGCGAGCAGCATCTATTGTCTGTGAGACAAAGCCACCCGCTTGCATCCACCTGCGACTGATGCATCCAGTGCGCAAGATATTGCATCCAGTCTCTTACTACTGCACCTCTCTCCGCGGACCCATCCGAGACCCACTACTCTGGCTGAAATCTTCGTCGTCGGTCGTGGGGTTTCGTCATCGTCATTGTTGCCGTTGCTGTCGATGCCGTCGTCGTCGGCCGTGGTCGTCGTCGGTCGTATGTCGTCGTCTGTCGTCGTCGGTCGTCGTCGTCGTTGTCGTCAGCGTCGTCTTTCGTGTCAGTCGTCCATCGTCCGTCGCCGCCGCCGCCACCGCCGTCGTCGTCGTCGTCGTCGTCGTCGTTTCCGTCGTCGCCGTCGTCGTCGTCGTCGTTCTCTCCGTCGTCGGTCGTCGTTCTTGTCGTCGTCGTTCTCTCCGTCGTCGTTCTTTCCGTCGTCGTCGTTGTCGTCGTCGTCGTCGTCGTCGTCGTCGTCGTCGGTCGTCGTTCCCGTCGTCGTCGGCCGTCGTCGGTCGCTGGTCGTGGTCCGTCGCCGTCGGCGGGGTTGTCGGGAAGGGGGGGGGCCGGGAGAGCCCCGAGAGAGCCCCTGGTGGACCCGTCGGAGGGTCTGCGAGGCCGCGGCGAGGCCCTATGGGAAGTCCTCGGGGGCAACGATAGGAGGGGATATGCAACGATAGGGGGGGGTAGGCTTAGGGGGGGGCGCACCGACCCCCAATCGCCCATTGATCGCCGATAGGGACCCGACGCCCCACCTCGCCCAGGAAGGTGAGGATTCACTATCGGGGGCCCATCGCCGATCTATCGACGATGTATCGCCGATTCCAGGTCGATTCGCCCCCCCCCCCCCCTATGCTTAAGTCGGGCCCATCTCCCTACAGGACGAAATTTTACAAGTAGTATAATAAATAGCCTGGGGACGATTTGATCCTGCCATTTTTGACCACGTTGGTGCACCTCTTGATTCTTATCTCTTCCAGAATCCGCCTGCACGGGGACATGCCCCACCCAACCCTACGCCTGCAGTCAACCCCTATCGTAAGGATGCGCGGTGAGGGCGCGAGGGCCTTGGAAGGCGACGTTGGCGTGTCTCGAGCGAGGTCGGCCAGCGAAAGTCGCTGAGGATGGGTCGAAGGGGCAAGGATGCAAGGCACCCTTGGGAAAGTTGCCCATCCTTACCATGCGGGTTAACTGCATCTCCCCCCCAGGCGTTGCCCCTCGGGTCCGGGAGGGGAGGCCGCCTCCTCTCGGAGGAGCCAGCGATGGGGGCGGCGGCCGCGCAAGCCCCACGAGGGCGGCGCGGCGGCCTCCGAGCCAGCGCCCCGTCGCGCGGGGGGGGGGCAAGCCCCGTCGGCCCTCCCCCCCCGGAGAAGGCGGGCACCCGCCCCACGGGACAGGCGCCGAGGCCGAGAGCTCGCCGAGGTCCAGCGCATTGAAAACATCAGGACGGAGGTTTTTCGCTTTGTTCGGCATCTAGGGGTCCTCGCCGGGCCCCAGGACCGTTAAACAACGACTCAGGATGAGAAGCCGGTCCCCGGGAAGGGGTCGAGATTTCTGGGGACCCCGTATTGAAAAAATCACGACATCGGATCTATGGCAACGAAACGGGTACGGAAAGATTGGGTACAATGTCCAACAGCGGTTCCTGTTCATTCTGAACAGGACTCGCTGTCGGTGTCGCCGCGGCCTGTGTAATCTGAAGCAGAAGGCCGCCTGCCCGACAGCGGCAGCTGTTGCTTTGGGACAGCATTTGTTGTTGGGCATTGTGCCCAATTTTTCCGTACACATTTCGGGCGTCCAAAGCGCAGGCTTGGGGTCAATTCTCCGCAAGGGCGCGATGATATATATATATATATATATATATATATATGTATCCCGACATGCGGCGATGTGTGCTGTTTTCCGGGATAACTCTCCGAGAGCGAAGGGGGGAGGTTCAGGGCTTGCTCCCTCGAAGCTCCTAGGAAGCTCACTTTTCGAAGCTTGCAAGCTTCCCAAGCATGTTTTTAGCGTCTTGGAAAGCGTCTCCCAGACACGTTTCCCACGCTTGCAAGTTCCCCAGGCATGTTTTCTAGCGTCCTTGCCAGCGTCTCCGATAAGCGTTTTCACGCGCTTTGGACTGCGTCGCTAACCGGGTTTTGGACTACACAATCAGTCCGGGCGTTGTTCCCCAGTGTCGGTCTCCTTGGGAGGGTGAAAGAGGGGGTCTGCAACAGGGGGTCTTCAATGGGGGCTGAATGGCCCATGTATGCTCAATGTATCGCTCATGTATGTGATCGGGTACGACTGGCATCCAATGTCGGTGGTCATGGAGGGCCAGTCGTTCGTGCCCGCGCGTTACTTTCGCGGGCACACGCGCCGTCCATCGATTATCGTTCATGCGTGCGGGCGTTTTTGCATATTGCGCGTGGGGTGGCGAAGCGGAGTGCACGTGTGTCTTGATTGTGCGATTGATGATCGCGTATGTTCCCAAACGATGACTTGTCGACCCCCAAGACAGACTTGGAATCGGTCCCGCGATTCTCCAAGTATGTGAATTCACATTCATGTTCCTTTTTCCCAGAATTTGTGAATTCACATTTTCGTTTTTTCCCAACGTGTGAAGTTACAGTCTCGCCCCTTCATAGATACTCCTACACAAAATTCCAACATGTGAATTCACATGTCCCCTTGCTCCCAAAATGTGCATTCACATTTTCCTTGATCCCCAACTGTAAATTCACATGTTTCTTTTCCCCACAATGTCTATTGACATTTTGCGTTGGCCTTCAAGATCCCCAAAACTAAGGTCAGTGTTCCGCATGTCAAATTGGCTGGGCAGATTTTGACACTCACTTCACCGCTTTCGTTTATTCCTACCTTTTCTTTTCGCGCCCTCAGCGCACGTTGCCTTCATCGCCTTTCCCGAGCCCCCCGCTCCCTTGCTTCGTATCCTCTCAAGTCTCGCGCATGGGTGCAGGCGGGGGGGTTCAAATGGTTCCCCCGCCGAACACAGCAATCGAGACCATTGCCGGGACCCTGCGCCCGCACCTTCACCCCCCAACTCCTGGGCCCGCTTGTCGGGCCCCGGAGCCATCCCGCAGGAATCCGGGCGGAAGTCCACCCCTGGGGCAGAGGTCGGGGCCTCTCTGGAGCCGCGTACCCGGGGAAAACACGAACGAAGGATGTCGGGGCAGTCGCGCGGGAACGCCCACCCTCGCTGTCTTGGCCGGGGACCTGCAGCTGTCCGTGCGGTGGAGCGTGGAAGCGGTTGCGCGCTCGCGCTCGGAGTGGGCGCGGGGCGCGGGGCCTTGTAGCCCGAGGCTCCGCAGCCTGGGCGTCGGGGTGGGGGCAGCTCCTTGGGCTCGGGCGGGGACCGGCGCTCCTGCGGGTTGTTTTTCCCTCGGGCTACGATGTTCCGACCTACTTCTAGCCTTGAGCACCACAAAGAATTCCGAACACCAAGGAGGTACCGAAATTTGACGCTGTTTTTCACTTGTCAGGCCCTGGGAGGCGATACGGCGATACTCGTTCGGCGCCGTTCCGATACTTTTCGAGGTGCTCGGAACTATTTCTCGGACGTGTCCCTTGAGCACGATGGGAGCAGCATCACCCCCTGGGGGGCCCTGCCTCGACCTGCACCCTCCGCACCTTCCGCGCAGAAGGTGCCGCGGCGATGCCGCGCGGAAGGTGCGGAGGGTGCAGGTCGAGGGAGCTCGCGGCGGGAGGTGCTGCCCGGGCGGGGGGCGCCCGGCGCCGGGCGTTTCGCAGCAGGGCCTCGGCCGTGGACTCGGGGGCCCAAAAGCCGATCCGCCCCTCCTCACCTGCCCGCCCCCCGTCGGAGGGCGGGGGGCCAGGGAGGGGAGGTTCGAAGGATTGTGCGGCACCCGGAGGCGACGAGTTAGGGGCGAAGAGCCCAGGGGTGGGCATTACACGCAAGTCGCGCGCGTCCCCCCACAGGAGGGATATTCAAACATAGAACGAAATAGTCTGGGGCGATCTTTAAAATAATATTATGTGCTGCTATAAGAAATCGCCCCAAATCCGCCTCTAGGAGGACATGCCCGGCCTAACGACTGGGGCGAATAACCCAGGGGTGGGCATTACACGCATTCGCCCGGGAGCCTCGCCGAAGGCGTGGACCATCGGCGCCTCTAGATGGGTACCAGCTGGACAAGTATCCAGCTGGACATGTATCCAGCTGGATACATGTCTGGCTCTCCCCTGGGCTAGTCGCCCCCGTCATCGAGGGGTGTCCTGTGCCCGGCGTCGATGGGGTCCGTGGGGGCAGGCTTCGCAAGGGGCCGCGCAGGAGCCTCCAGGAGGATCGGGTCGTACAAAAGGGGGGGGGGATCGTCTGGGGCCCCCAGACGGGGTGGTGATCACACCGAGTGGTGAGTCGGTGGGGAGTCGGGGTCACCGCACGGTTTTGGGACTCGGGTCGTTCTCCGAGGACGTCTCGGGCGACTGGGGCCTCCGAGGTCCCAAAACCGTGCATGGACGGACCGTGCGGTGAGTTCTTGGGGGATTCGAGGTCACCGCACGGTCTATCACCGCACCGTTCCGGGACTCCACAGATCGGGAAGGGAGGGGCACGGCATCTGTTGCATGCAATTGGTTTCGGCGCTGCCACCGGGCGTTTTCCACGACACATTGACGCCAGGACGATTCAATCAGCTGCGTGAGCCGATCGCTACCCCTTCTTCCCTGTACCCCGCCCGTTGCGTCCGACCCGATCAATGTTTTCAAATCGTCCACTATATATCGAAGAAGAAGATTAATAGGCATATACAAAAACTGTTGGCACTGCGCGCGGATTTCTCGGATCCGTGCTGGGCCCCCCCTGGCGGCGCCTCCGGCGCCGCCCCTGGCGCGCCCCGCGCGCCAGGGAAGGGGGCCCAGCGCGGATCCGAGGAATCCGCGCGGAGCGCCACAAGTTTTTGTTTGCGCCTCTTTTCGTTCCTTCTTCTACTGCATCCTCCAGACCCGCCAGCTCTCAGAGCTTCCCCAAGTTGTCCTCCGAGTTTGGCCTCACCGTGTCGCCGTCCCGAGAGGGGGCAGGAGCGGCCCGTGGGGCTCCTCTCGGCAGGCCGGGCAGAGCGTCTGCGGTCGGGCGTTGCTGCCAGGGCCCTGGCCCGAGTCGGCCGCAGCTCTTCTCGGGGACGGGTGATGTCCCCAGGCATGATCGCGTCTTGAAAAAAACAGGACGGGAGGTTTTTCGCTATTTTCGGCCGGGGGGGGGGGCCCTCGCCGGCCCCAGGACCGCCAGAAACCACTCAGGATGAAAAATCCGTCCTGGGCAATGGGTCGAGACTTCGGGGGAACCCGCATTGAACAAATCACGACATCGGATCGCTGGGTCCACGAGCCGAGGGAAGACGCGCGCTGACCATGGCCAGGATGTCGCGGGATCCTGTCGACGCCGAGTCTGGTCACGGTCCGTGCCGGCAGTCGCCGACTCGCGAATTGACGTTGATCAAGGTCGACACCGGTCAGGGCTAGTGTTAGGTCTGGCCTGTCCCTCTACAGGGGGAATATTCAAAAATAGTAAACAAATAGTCTGGGGACTATTTTTTTGTATTTGTTGACCATTGTGGAATATATTTTTCATTTTTCGTTGAAAATCCCCCTGTAGGGGGACACGCCCGACTTAAAAGGCCAGTGTGTTCTGTGCCTCCTATTGGCACCACCGATCGCGAGGCCCAGCGCGGCTTCGGGGTTCCATGGGGGCGCTCCCGCACCTCTGGCAGCGCCCGCGCTCCGGGGCGGGGGGGGGGCGGCGGGCTCGGGGTCGGAGGAGCGCTCGGCGTTCCTGGTTTTCTCCCAACCCTCCTGTGTTGGGTACTCGTTTTGAATGGAGCAGTGTGGTCGCCCCGTCCTTCCTTCTCCTCCCCTCTCCTCCCCTCCTTCTCTCCTGTTTCCCGGTGTTCCCCTCTCCTCTTCCCTCGTGCCGTCGGGCTGCGAGCTGCGCAACTGTCGCCATTGTCGTGGGCACCTGGGAGGCCCAGCGGAGGCGGGTCCCACACGGATCACCTCGGTACCTCGCCGCCCGTTTGGGGGGCTTGCGATCTGCGCAATTGTCGTTCTTTTCGTGGGCTCCTGGGAGGCCCAGCGGAGGTACGTCCCACGCGGATTACCTCGGGACCTTGCCGCCCCCTGGGGGGCTTGCGATCTGCGCAATTGTCGCCACTTTCGTGGGTTCCTGGGAGGCCCAGCGGAGGTACGTCCCACGCGGATCACCTCGGTCCCTGGGGGGCTTGCGATCTGCGCAATTGTCGCCACTTTCGTGGGCTCCTGGGAGGCCCAGCGGAGGTAGGTCATACGCGGATCACCACGGGACCTCGCCGCCCCCTGGGGGGCTGCGATCTGCGCCACTGTCACCACTTTCGTGGGCTCCTGGGAGGCCCAGCGGAGGTACGTCATACGCGGATCACCAAGGGACCTCGCCGCCCGTGGGGGCTTGCGATCTGCGCAATTGTCGCCACTTTCGTGGGCTCCTGGGAGGCCCAGCGGAGGTACGTCATACGCGGATCACCACGGGACCTCGCCGCCCCTGGGGGGCTTGCGATCTGCACAATTGTCACCTTTTTCGCGGGCTCCTGGGAGGCCCAGCGGAGGTACGTCATACGCGGATCACCACGGGTTTTCTTGCTGCGCTCTTCTGAAAGCATTGTTGGGTGCTCTTTCTGCGCTCTGCGGGTCCTTCAGAATGCCAGTCAGCATCGAGTGGTCCTGAGTAGAATCGCCACATGTATAGAAAGGGTTGGGTACGTCACAGGTCATTGTTTTTTGGGGGGGGATGGGGCAGCGCTCGCAGCTTCGGGGCCCGCGGAGGTCCAGAGGAGGTGGAGGATGAGACGCTGGAGCCCGTGTGCCTGGGTCGTGGTAGGAGGAGGAGGAGGAGGAGGAGGTGGAGGAGGAGGAGGAGGAGGATTAGGAGAAGGAGGAGGAGGAGGAGGAGGACGAGGAGGAGGAGGAGGAGGACGAGGAGGAGGAGGAGGAGGGCGAATCATAGAAGATGTAGCAGCGGCCTTGCAGCTCACCCTCCCGCCCCATGCCCCCCTAACGAGCCCTTCCCGGCATTCCCCGTCGCTGCGCGAGGCGACCCCTTGAAAGAGAGGGCCTTCTGGGAGGGCCTTCTGGGCCCGCGGGGGGGGGGGGCGCGGTGGTTGGAGGACGGGGGTTCTTGAGCGGTTGCTTGCCTTGCCCCTCTGTTTGGCGTCCGCGGGCCTGCATGGGCACTCCCAAGCGTGCTGTGGGGGGCCCATGCCAAGACACACTCTGCTTGCCTCCAGGGTGCCCTGGGTTTCTTGGGTTTCGACGGTTTCGCTGTGGCAAGCGTGACGCTCCCACACCAAAACTTAACGGACGTCCTGGGGTCTCAGGGTCGGGTTTCTTGTGGGCGGTTCCTTGTGGACTGGCCTCCGCGCTCCGCCGCGGCCGCGGCGGTCGGGCGCTTCGGCGGACGGAGGAACGCTCGTGGAGCGCGAGACGCAGAAAAGCAGGGAGTGGAAGTATCGAGAGGGGGGAGAGAGTTCAATGTTTTTCAAAAAAGAATTAATGATACATAAAAATGAAGAACAAAAAAAAAAGAAGAGGGGGGGATAGATTTCAAGGCATGGGGAGGAGGATGTGGATGGGGAGGACGGGGAGGAGGCGGGGAGGAGGAGGAGAAGGGTGGAGGAGGGAGGAGGCTGAGTTGGTTGACCTTTCTGGTTGATAGGGGGCTGGCTGACCGAGCCCGTTTCGGGCCCGAGCACGCAAGCCTCCATCATCTGTGCAACACATGTCTGAGCCATTCTGGAGAACATGTGGAGGGGGGCGACCGTGAGGAGGAGGAGGAGGAGGAGAAGGAGGAGGAGGAGGAGGAGGAGGACGGAACGAAGTGTTCGAGCGATGGGCTTGGCCAGCGCCATGGTGACATGCATCGTTTATAATTTGACCGCCGATTCGTTGGGATCGGGTTCCATGTTAGCCTGCGCTCGTTGGGAAGAGTTTGTAAAGGGTCCCGGATGCCAAGTCGTGTTATGTAAGTTGATGCGTTGTTCGTGGCATTCCGCATGCGTACTTCTGGGCATGCCCACTGATGATACCTGCTATTATGATGCAGAAGCCTTGTCAGACGTTGCCTCCGCCTGCTCAGTTCTCAGCAATTACCCACGAACCTCCCCCCATGCTGGTAGCACCAGGTTCAGACGATGCTGTGGGAGACGCTGGGCTGGGCATCCCCGATGCTTCCACCCCCAGACGCGGTCTGCTTCGATGACGCGGGGTAAAAAGATGCAGCTTTGTCCTCTTTTGTCCCCATCATTCCTTACCGCCGCGATTCATCATTAAGTATTCCAGGCTCTTCGCATAATCCCACTAGCCCATCCTGAAACGATGCCTAGGCGAGTTGCCCTGACCAGGCATGTGGGGGAGCACACAGTGTAATAACTGATAGGACGCCGTCGTGCCCCAAGAAGGGGAGGATGGAGGAGGAACCAAAAGGGGATGATGAGGAGGAGGAGGACGAGGAGGAGGAGGAGGACGAGGAGGAGGAGGAGGAAAAGGAGTAGAGGAGGAGGAGGAGGAGGGGGAGGGCGAGGGGGAGGGGGAGGGGGAGGAGGGAGGAGAGAGAAGGGAGAAGTAAGGAGGAGGAATCGGCGGATGAGGAAGAGGAAGAGGAGGAGGGCGGATGAGGAAGGCCTGAGACCTCTTGCATGCTTCTCGGAGTCTTTTCTGATGTCTCACGAGAGCTCCTTGTAATTAGGCTTGTTGGGGCGTCGTGGAGGTCCCTGGCGGTCCGGGGGGCCTCCTAAAGCGTTTTGGGTGCCTCGGGGGAGCCTGTTGGGGCCTCTTGGTGATCGATTGGAGGCCTCTTGGGGGCATTTTGGGGGTCTCTTGGGGTCCTCTTGGCGCCCCTTGGGGCCTGGGGGGGCATTGTGGGACCAGCTTGGAGGTGATCGATCAAAAGTGGGGCCGCAGCAAATTAGCACCCCCCCCCCTCGGAGGCCAAACTGTGGCCAAAATCTTGGCGAACATCGTGATTTGGGCGTCCTCGCCGAGGGAGAGGGCAGGGGGAGGGGTAAACCCCTCCCCGCAGGGGAAGATGGAAGATGGGAGAGGAAACTTCCTAAACCGCTCACGCCGAGAGGGCTGGTGGGATTCCTTCCTTCCCCGCCCTCCGCTCCTTTCCCCCCGCTCACTTTCCTCACATACCCCGTTATTCCTCCCCTTTGTTCCTTGCTTCCCCCTGCCTCCTCCCTCTCAGCAATCCTGCCTCAACGATTACCCGTGTCTGCTCATAGGCTTGACCCCAGGCCCCTCGAAGTAGTGTGCAGATCATTCAGACACGTCTCTCGGGTCCTGGGCAGGCCCCGCGCATGACGCAGGCAATGGCGACAGCCTGGTCATGGATACGGCCAGCAGCCAATTCACAGTTGCACCTGCTTGTGGCTGGGGCGGGAGTGCACCCGCAGCGTGGTCCTCGCTGGCCCCGGTGGGGAGCCCTCGTCGGCACGGCTGCCCGCGGCTCGAGAACATCCTCTGCGCTTCGTGCCAGCCCTCCGGTGACCACAGTCGCGCCCCTGTCCCGGAGGACTCTTGCGGGGAGCTCTGAGGGGCCCTCCGCCTCCCTCTCCTCCTCCTCCTCCTCCTCCTCCTCCTCCTCCTCCTCCTCCTCCTCCTCCGCCTTGCGCACCAGCCTGCACAGCTGACCAGGACAGGATCAGCGAGCGTGCGATCCAGCGACGGGTTTTCGCGCCTCCATTTGTACCCCAACCAGTTGGCATGCAGCCCCATTCGTCGAGTAAAAAAAGGGCTCTTCCTCCTCCTCCTCCTCCTCCTCCTCCTCCTCCTCCTCAGTGGAGTCACTTGAGTGGTCCCACTATTCTACTACATCTCGTGGGCGGGAATCATCCGTATCCACGTGCCTGGCGGTCCTGTCTTCTCGGCCGTGATCCCATAGATAATATGCGGCGTTGCGCGGATGCCCAGCGCTAAACGTATCGGGGGATCTCGTATCCACTGGATCACCCCTCGGACCGCGATGACATGGATATGTTTATGTTCGTCGGTTGTGATTTTCTCCCTGAGCATTCCCAACCCCCCATTCGTTAGGCCCTAGTTGTATTAGAGTTGGTGTTGCTCGCACCGCGCATCTCTCCTGGCGATTCGATAGGAGCGGACGGCGGCATTTATCGGGTTGTGCTCTTTCTATGGTGGATACATATTTTGTATAAGTGGTTTCATCGGCGATTTCGTCCATGGGTTCCGCAGTATTGGCCTTCCTCTCGTACAATTGCGCACTGCATAATAATGTGTCGTGCTTGATGGTCGATTCCCGTGGTGGTTTGATTTTGAACATTCGATATGTGATAATTTCAGTGGTATGCCTTTCGCCAGCGATGATGGTCCAATCGTGTTTTTGCGTAGAGGGTCTGGATGACGATATACGCAGGGAAGTCTCTTCCCAGGACGCCTGGCTTACGACACGACTTTGTCTTGCGTTGTTAATTGTAATATTCTTTCTCGCTTCGTTGTTCGCCTCCAGTGTTTCTTGCGCCAGCCCACGGTTTTTTGTTTGGTTTGCCGTCTTTGCTGAACACGCCTCCGCTTAGTGAAGCTTGAGCCGAACAATATGAATGCAGAGTGCAGATGAGTTGCTTGGGGCCGAACAGCATCTTCATATATATATACCATATATATACATATATCTATATATAGATATATGGATACATACCGTTGAACCCTTCGACTGCGAGTAAACTGCGCGCATTCGAAGTAGAGGCGTGGCCAAAAGCATGCGTGCGATCTGGGCACGCGCCTGAGATGAACTGGTGTAACGATGTGCCTCTTCATTATTCTCTTATTTTTGACCCTCCACTATTTATCCTGCTCCTCAAGAAAAAGAAGAACACTCTGCCTAAACATAAGTGCTTGGATGTCCGCGCGCATTGTGGGTATCGGCGCTGGACCCCCCCTTCTTGGTGGCGTTTCGGGTGCGCTCTGCACGCCAGGGATTGGGGTTCCAGCGCCGATTCAAGAAACCCGCGCGTTCAGCTGTTCGTTTATATATCCTCCTGGTCACTTCCGCTTTGCGCAGTCCTCCCTATTCATCTTCCTTCCTCCTTACGTGTTCATTCCTCCCCCTCCATTGGTTCCAGTCATTTTTTATCCTGTTCCTCATTATCCTCGTCTTGCACCTCATCGACTCATCTTCATCCGCCCTACCCATGGCCATCCGTCTCATCATCCTGGCTCTGCTCCCCCTTCATCTTCTCACTACCATCACCGGCACCGTAGCTGACCTTTCTCTTCCTTCCGTCGCCCCTCTCTCCTCCATTACTCCTGCCGTCATCCGATCCTCTTCCCATTGTCATCTTCCCTCATCCTGCAGACTCGTGCTGCTCGGGCGGGAATGGGGAGGAGGTGCCGCCGCTAGCATGCGGCGAGCCGCCACGCCGAAGGACCGCCTGCGGTGCCTGCATCGGCGCGCCCGGCCTGTCTCACGGGGCCCTCAGATTGGGACGATGTAGAAAAACGATGGGCGTCTGGGGCAGGGGCGGTGTCGGGGGGCTTCTCGCGGCTCTGTGATGTTCATCACGTCGCCGGATCCCAGGGACGGGCATTCACGCGCGTGGTCTTGGTCTTGCTGTGTGCATTGATCCATGTTTCTGCTGTGCTCCACACTCGTCTACGCACTTCGCGATGCACGTGCGCACGCTGCCTGGGGAGAAGGAGACCTTCGCGCATCTTAGATCTCCACTAGCCTATCCACTAACAATTATCTTACGCGGTGTCGTGAGAGGGGCAGGTGAGAATCATGAGTTAAGGACAAGGTACACATGTGGAATCGGAGTTGGCATTCACCCAATCGCGAAGAGGAGGGGGATGAGGAGGAGGAGGAGGAGGAGGAGGCGGAGAATGAGAAATGACAAGACGACGAGGATGAGGGAGACGGCGAGGATAATTAAGAGAAGGATATTTTAGGTGCTGCGGCGAGGCCCCAGGGATGTGGCATCGGAATGTGTGCAGGACGCCTCCACGAAGGGGCAGAAGGTGTTGATTTGGCCGATCTGACACCCCAAACTACACATACCCAAAGGACCGCAGGGATTTCGTGGAGAGAAATGGGGCGAGGGGAGGAGGGGCGAGGAATCGAGAACAATGGCAATTCGATATCCCGTGCGACTAATCCGCCCCCCGAGCTCCATGTCGCAAGCGACGAAGCAGAAGAGAGCGGAGATGATGAAAGGTCGATGCGCAGAGTTTGTCTTTTCATCCTGCGCTGTGCGCACAAGGCTGCTGGCGAGACTGTGGAGAAGGTCGTTCCTTTATAGCGTTGACGACGCAACACGAAGATGGATTCCAAACTGACCAAGACATGAAGTAAGCCCAGCCAGGCTGCAGGGATGATGGTTTCAATGGTCCGCAGCTCCGGTACCTCGTGACATTCAGCATATGCCAACGCATGCCTACGAAACGTGACCGACAGCGCAGCGTGTTCACAATATTTCCACGCCCCTGTTCAGAACAGTTCCCGACGACCACGCCCTGTCAGGGCAATCATGACGCGTGCAGCGTTACCCATGACAAAAAACAACGACTCTTGTTCCTCCACAGTTGCGCACACATAAGGCGGCACGTATTCGAATGCTGACAAGAATCCCAATCTCGCGGCACGAAGCGCGAGAATCGAAGATGATCAGTATGTAATTTCTGTCATCGTCGGGAAAAGCAGAACTAGGTAGGTTGGCGCGCTCGCGCGGCAGACCCGAAGTTTATCAGACACAGCGTGAAGTCGAAGACCGGCCTGTGCGAGCAACCCGAGATCCAAACTCAAGCAGTGGCGGAGCGTCTTGGCTTGCCTACAGGCCTGCCAAATAATATTATAAGAACCTTCTGTGGTCTGCACGAAATGCTCATGTTCTCAGAACACGTTTTTGTTCTTAGGACATTTTGGGTTAGAACATTTTTGGGGTTCTAAGAACATGTTGTGGTGGGCCTACAGGAATGCCAGGACGGTCGGTCCCTGCTCAACATGGCGGTCTGTTGCTTGAGCCGATGTTGATGTCAAAATGTGCGTGAGGCAAACTTGTCAAGAAAGAGGTGTTGAGAGTGCTCAGGCAGAGGCGAGGGTGAGACCCGGAGTCCCCAGGGGTGGGAAGGGTTCCCGATCTTCCCTTCTCCGCCCCGCCCCCTCCCCTCTTCTATGCCCCCCCTTCCCCTCCCCACCCCCTCCACGCTTTTTTCCGTCGCAGCGTGGCAGCGGCGATCCGCCGCTCCCTCCACACACCGAAGAAGGACACATTGCATGAGCGTAGCACTCTCAGCGCCCCGCGCAGATTTTCCGGGATTTGCGCTGGGCCCCCCTGGCGACGCCTCTGGCGCCGCCCATGGCGCCCTCCGTGCTCCGGGGGGGGGGGGTCGGCGCAGATCCAAGAAAACCGCGCGGATCGCCGAAAGTTCTGCTCATGCGGTTCTCGGTTCAACACTCGCGCCGCGAAATCGTTGATCTGTCGGGTGCGAGAGAGGCTTTCGGTGGGCTACGGCAACAATTCACGATTGGTGAGTCGGAGCAGCAATCTGCTCATCCAGGGGAGGGGATTGGGGATGACGCGGGGTAGCTTAGTCATTGTCTCGACGACGACACTTGAACCTTCTGGCAACTCAATCAACATGTGCGCGATGCATCAAACACGGGTCCGATTCGCCCCGCGTTGGCCAAATGATCGAAGACACCTACAGAGTATTATCGCCGCCGCCTACCTGCTAGGAGCGGCAATGTATTGGTGGCAGACGCTGCGTGCGCATGTAATATAATTGCATTTGAATGTTCTTCTGAGCATTCAGTTGAGGCCATGTTGGGCCTTCTTACGCGTTAAGTCGGGCGTGTCTCTCTACAGGAAGAGTATTCCCAAATAGTTAAACAGTAGTCTGGGAACGATTGTTTTGATCATTGTTGGGCATCGTTTCATTTGTTTTTGCTAATTTTGATTTTTCGTCCAAGATCCCCCTGTAGGGGGACAGGCCCGAACTAATCTTAAGAGGCCTGCTTGGGCTATCTCGGGGCCCTCCTGGGCCATCCGTCCTGTCGCGCTCTGGTGTCGTTCGGCGACCCGGCAGGCCATCTTAGGGGGCCCCACGGGGTTGCTTGGGGGGGGTCCTTGGCTCCCTGGAGTGCCGTCTGGGGGCCCTCTCCGTTGTTCTAGGCTTGAGTCGGGCGTGCCCCTGTACAGGAGTAGTATACAAAAATAGTAAAAAGATAGTATTTGGAAGATTTTTCATCTATGTTCATCTATTGTTGAATATGTTTTCAGTATCGTTCATTTCTCGTTCAAGATCAGCCTGTAGGGGGACATGCCCGACCTAATTCTAGGCGTTTCGGTCGTAACATCTGACACCCCTCTTCCTCCAAATATGCAATCTCCTAAGTCTGGAGTTCTTGTCATTACTGGGACGCTTCCACTTCCTCACTCACTCCCGCCGCCTTTCATTCACTCTTCTCATCATCTCCAGATCACCCATGCCCACACTCACTCGCACTCGGATACGTCTACACTCAGGCTCATCACACTCAGATCACTCATACTCAGACTCACTAACACTCAGATGCGCTCGTGCTCAGGCTCATTGACACTCAGACACGCTCGTATCCAGAACCACATACACTTTAGTCACTGATGCTCAGACTCACGCTCACTCAGACCCACACACAAATCA